GCTGAAATCTGATATGTAATACCAGTTGATTTGAAAAAAAAGTGTTCCAATAGTTAAGCTGCGTAAGAGTTTGCAATAAGCAGTTTTCCAGTTTTTTCTGGAACGGGCTCCTTTCCTGTCAGTGTACATGACGTAGCTGTAGGTGTGCGAAATTACAAAAATGCGGCAAGATCAGGATTCCTGTGTTGCTGCAATGTGGTGGGCAGTATCTGAAGACATGGGATTTCTGGTCTTTAGTATGTTTATAAATGCTATCAGAAATATTGGAATATTTTTAATAGGCACTCGAGTTTCTTCTCTAAGTAGTATTACACTAGATGACTGATGGGGGGAAAAAAAACCACTAGATAGAGGTAGACTCTATTTTTTCTTTTCTCTCCCCTCATGCTGCTATGAGAAGGACAGGGTCTTTTCCCAGCCTCTTCTTGTGTGACTGTGCACTTGGCATGCGTGCTGTTCATACTGAAAACGTGGGCTGCAAATCCTTGGAGTCAACAGCTCCGGCATAATGGTCAGCTTTCAAAGATGTAAATGTCAAAGAGCTGTGCTAGAAACTAAAAATTTCATCTGATTCTCAGCTAGTTTTCAGGCTTGTATTTTAAGTCATTCTTTCTGTAAGAGCGACCAAAAAAGGCACCAAAAATTGGTAAATCTCCAACCTTTCCTATTTAGAAAGGTCATCCTAATTAAATTGTCTTCATACACAACCATAAATGGCAGCAGATAGTCACTGTTACAAACAGGCATGTAGAAATGCAGCCTGCCAATTTGTTGAAAGAGATATTTAGATCTTTGGGACTTGCATGCACTTTAACCCTTTGTTTTTACTAGATATTCCATCACCCAATAACAATTTAGTAACTGTATTAACTAAACCAGCAAAGTTGAGAGTAATAGAGCTCAACTGTACCCTTAAACATTTCATATTCTATTATGGCTGCCAGCTTAAAATATTTACCTTTAAATTCAGATGTGTTTTTTTCCAGTAAAGTAGCAAAATAACAAATGATATTTCTATTGAAATTAAAGCAAATTAAATCTATGGATACGTTACATAAAATTTGCTATGAATTCGCAATGATGATAAACATGAAATTCCTGGAGATTAATAAAATAGGTAGAGGATTAATATTTTTCTGTCAAGATCAATACTGCTTTCTTTTGCACTAATTGTCAGAATATCTTGCTAGGGCTACTGGAGGGTAGTGGTGTGCTTCAAGACCATCACATCACAGAAAAATGATTCAAAGGCAAACTGTCCTGCACCCTCTGGTATCGACTTGCAAATTAGCATCTGGAATGTAATTAAACAAGCTTAATGAAAGTAGCAGCTGAATACTACTGGAAAAGACAATCAGCTTTTTTGCCTCTGATATATACTCTGTACTATTGAAGCTGATCACCAAACGCATCGTGTGAGCACAGTTTTTAAAAAAATTAGCATTTATTTGAAGAATAGGAACTGTTTTTCATTCTGTTATGCTTTTGGCATGCACTGGTGTCCCCTGAGAGCTGTGCCACAGCAGATAGTGCACAATATTTATAAATCCATGACAGGCAATAATAGCAACTTGAAAAATTCTTTTGCTAGAATTTCAAGTTGAGAGCTGCCAAAAGCTGAGAGGATCAAATCTGCAGTGGCAGCTGCTGTGCCCTACAGTTAAGAATCGTAAAAAAAAAAAAAAAAAAAAAGACTGCAGGGTTAGCCAATTTTTGCAGGTTTCTAGAGCCCTGGCTCTCTGCCTTTTGAAGATGAGTTGCTGAAGCTTCTACCACTGCCTGAGGCATGCTAACACCAGCAGGATGTGGTGTGGTTTGTTTTTTTTTTTCCTCCATAGACTTAGTGTGTCTTCAGATTTAAGTAGCACATGCTTTATCAATGCCAACTGTGATGGTCCTTTCCCTGGTTGCAATGCCGGGACGCGATCTTTACCCAACATCCTTCAGAGAAACTGCGAAGATAGATGGTGACGTACACGAGTGCCACTTCTGCAGCCTGATTTATGGAGGCATGTTTCATTATGAAGCAAGTGCTGGCCTCTAGAGGAACCATTATAGATTGCTGAAGATGTGAACACTTTCAGCCCTGAAGGCCTGTAGATGCTTCAAAAATGTAGTGCCAAGCACCTAACTACTGCAGAACAATATTAATCTGTCATGTGGGCAGCTATAGATCTACTTTAAAAAACGTAAGTGGAAGAACAGCACATCTAATAGAGTGTTTTGAGCTCAGATCTTTCATTGCAGCCTATTTTTCTTTCCGTAGAGTTTCAGTAGAGTAGCCACATGGTTTTTGAACCTTACAGTCAGATTTTGCAAATGCACTCCTGCCTTCTGGTGTTAAACAATAGCAAAGAAATACTGTGAGTCAGTGGATATGGAAACCATCATGGTCTGGGAAGTAAAATGTCTACAGTCATCAATGCTGGAATTCTGGGTTTATCTGTACTGTGGTTGTTGAATTCCTAGGGAGATCGGGCGGTATTAAATATTTTTATTCTGGTATTTGACTTCTGTTGTTTGAAAAGTAGACACGTTCTGTCTGTAGAAGAATTATATGATGTACGACAAGGCTGCGTTGTAGCCTTCTGGCAAGAGCTTCAAGTTTAAGCAAGGAAACAGCCTGCTTGTAACTTCATTTTTTTTTTCTGTATTTCATCAAAATAGCCAGGTTTAATAAAAAGAGGATCCAAAAGGAAGAGAATCGGTAGAAGCCACAGGAAGCAGAACTGTTGCAGGGAAAGGGAAGTAAATCTTTGTGTAATGAGTTCAGGGCACAGAATAGGTGGAAAAAAAACGGAAGGAGGTAGTCTGGCAGGTATTTAATAACTGGTTCTAAAATAGATCACCCCAAAAATGTGACACTATATTTACAGTCATTTATTACACCTTTTTTTTAGCATGGCAGGAAGTAGAGTGGTACTGAATGAAAACAAAAATACTCTGGAGCGGTAAGAACAGATTAAAAACAAGAGGAGAGCTGTTCTGACTGTTCCACTTGGAGCGTAGGCACCCTCCCGCAGCAACTTGCGAGGAGCAGACAGGAGGAGTTGGAGATCACAACCTTTCTCAGTTAGTAGCTGCAGCTGTGAGTGTGGGTGTATTCACAGAGAAAGTAAAGCAAGGAAGAGGACTGGAAGTTGCAAAATGTGTAGACTCAGGCTCTCCTGGTCCACAGTTTTGTTTCTGGCTTTGCCACTGATTTTTGAAGTATTTGAGCAGCCCCGTATCCCTAGAGTGAAGAAGCTGAGGCACAAAGAATGTTTCCCCCCAGCCACTCGATGTGCACTGCTGGGCTGTGCGGTGTCCACGTGGAAAGCCATCTAAATTCAGCTTTCACTGTGTACCTCTTATTTCAGTAGAAAACGCGTGCGGCATAGGCATAGTACAAGATATCAGGAAAACATGTCACTTTCTTCCATTTTAAACAGCTGACATACAGATCATTCAAATGTTTCTGTGCTCGGATTTCCTACTGTCCCTCAATATGGTGGGGGGATTTTTGTTTATTAACTACTGACAATAATGCTGAGCTATTTTTGGAAACTGTCAAAACTCTCTAATCTTCAACAATAGTTGGGTCATCAGTCTTAGTTAGCCTGAATGTGTGTGATTCGAGGCTCAAGAGCAATGACAAGCTGCATATGAATGCTGTATTCATTAGTGATGGTGATCAAAATGCCTGTGTCCCTGCCATAGGGCTCAGGTGTGGAAGTCTGCAGGCTAATCCCACCAGCTGACATTCGGAGGTTTAATGACT